TATTTTCTTATTCACTTGCTATGAAATACATAAATTTAAAAAAAAAAAGTTAGTGTTTTATGAATAAAATGGGAAAAATTTTGCAGCGTTCCACTTAGTATTGTAAAAACTCAGATACAACTGTCATAAGTTTTTAAGTTGATTTTCAAATCTTATTATAATTTAACTACAGGTAATCTTATACTAATTTCACTGTATGGCAAGAAATTAAAAATTCTTGAGCCATTTTGTTTTGTCAGCATCATTGCAAATATATTTAAGCATAATATTTTCATATCTTTAACACATTTGTACACACATGTAAGAATAGAAAATGGCAGAACCCAAATGCATGAAAAACATTTTAATTATTTCATTCAACATTGTAATACTGAAATATTTATAGAATGTCACTAAAATTGCTTATTTAATTATGAGTTGTTAATAATATCACATTTTATTGTGCAACAAAAATGACTGCTTTCAACAGAATAACTGTAAGTTTACAGAAAAATATTAAATTTTTAATTAAAATTAAAATTTTATGGATTAAAAATGAGAAAATTATCATAATATTCATAAATAAACACAACAGTAATTCTTCTGAAAGTTGAAATATTATGGTTATATAGAATTTAGAAACTGAAATGAAATATTAATAAATTTGATATTTGTGAAATTTGTACTGATTATTTGACTTAAATGACAACCTTTAACATTTCATTTAAAGCAATTAGACATGAATAAGTAATCAACGATTTTAAGATGGATGAAACACTGTTATTCATAACCAATAAATGAAACAAAAAATATTCAGAATTGGACACAACTCATTTCAAACATCATTATTAACATTTTATTTATGTCTACTGAGGGTGTAAGTCTACAATATCACTATTAGATGCCACTGATCTTGCCAGAAATGAAGTATTTTCTTATTACTTGATAAATTAAATAGGTATATAAAAGCAACAAATACAGAATTTTTAACCACAACAGAAATGAATGTCTTTTATGTTTATATCTCACCCAGCTTAATAACATTTACATTTCAGTTTATGGGAAACCTTAGTCAAATATATTTCTTTTGTTAAATATCAGTGAAGAAATCAATTTTTAAATGTAACAGACATTTTTGTTCAACTACTAATGTACAAAACAGCATTCTGTATTTATAAATGGAATCATAAAAATCATAAAACAAAAATTGAAAATATAATATAGGAATGAATGAAATAACACATGTAAAGTTTTTTAGGAAATGCCATTCATCATATTACAGACGAGAAGAAAACAATATTTTAGTAGGCATGGAAATTGTATTCAGTAATTTGTGGTTTTTAGTATACATCAATCCAGCTGACCACGAAAAAACTCAGTCACCAGAAAGATTTCTACACAACAAAACATAAAGGAACCTAAATAACATAAATAAGAGGGGAAAATGAGGGTTAGCTCTTTACAGGTGTGCAAAGAATGTGCATTAGTGCAGGAAGAGTGAGCAGACACTGTGTGAAAGGATCACCTGAAGATACTTTTTATCTTTAGTTTTGAAGAATGAAAGGGCAAATATCTATTTAGTATCCTATTTAAACTGCAGCCTCTTTTTGCAAAACGGTCCACTTTCTTATTTCTCTCAACATCACAGTAGAAGGGTACCCACTGGAAAGATACTTTACATTGAATTCTATTATGTAGAGATATACACTGCTGGACAGGAGAGCTTTTATTATCCTGATTAGATAATACATCCTGTCAAGCGGATGTTGAATTGGAGAGTAGCATAGCCCTCTCAATGGAAGTCAGGTGAAAGCAAAGTTGCTGAATAGTTACATAAATTTATTCCACCTCACCATTGCAATGGTTTGATGAATTTCCAACTGGTAGATAAAAACAAAAAAGTTCACAAGAAATATCAGCTCCAGCTTCTTCAGTAAAGTCCAGAAGGATACCATCTGTATACTAGATGTGAAATCATTTAAAAGTAGGATAGCAATCATGCTGTTTCCAAAGCAATTGCATGGAGCACTTCAGGATAGCAGTCTGACATTATTTTCTGATTTAGGTTCAGTCTTATATCAATGTCCAATTGGTTAAACTTAACAAGGAAGTGCAAGACCAGCTCACATTTTGGAGTCCATACAGCAGAATTCATGATGATGAATCAACTGGCTTTGAAGATAAATTTCAGTATCTGACCCAATGTATGACAGTTGGAAACAGAGGCCAAGAAGTAACTGTTTGTTGGAAACTGCTATTATAGAACATGATAGTAGAAAATGCTATTAATGTGAAAGTGAAGATGAACATCATGCAGCTGTAAGATAGGTTACAGTCACCTTTGAGGTCTTTAAAGTTAATTGGCTTAACTACTGCCGTCATGTTATTTGTTGGTGAAATCATGCACTCCCAAAATTTTTTTAAGGGTTTCATTATGCAATCTAGTGATCAATGAAGAAGAAAAAACTCTTATGGTGATTAACTATCCCAGTTATTGTTGTTTCTTTAGGTGGATGTTGAAGGCAGAGATTAAATGTTGTGTTTGGTGGCATTAGCTCTAGAAAACTACATAAATGCTACAAGGTATTAGTGAGTAATTAGGGGAAAAAATTACTCTTGTGAAATCTAAGTTCTGGACCGACAAGTTATTTGTGAGGTACACTGTTCAAGAAGAAGAACTTTTATCTTGGCAACTGTGGATGGTTGAATTACTGGATAAAGGTATCTGTTTTACTGATGCGAAGAAAGACTCACTTATCTATAGAATTTTTTATTGAAGCTTACTATGCTGGAAGTCTTTACACTGGGAACATTTTCCACATGTTATCTGGTCTTATTATGGTACAGACACTACTTGGCTGGATTGTTATGGGTAAGATTAACAACTACATTTTATCTTTGGTAACCAATATGCTAATCCACAGCAATAATTTAGAGAATTTGTGGAAATTAGATGCTTTAGGCATAACTTAACTCAGTGAAGGCAAGTCTAGTTTAGAATTGGAAATGGCTGTATCAGATCACTTTCATAGAACCTTAAGAAAAATAATGATGGCAGATTTGAAGTGAGTTTGCCCTGGGTTGATGATCAAGCCAATTTACCAGTCAATAGAGACACTGATACAAAGAGATAGCTCTCAACCACAAAGAAACTTAGATTAAGAAAGATTTGAAGACTAAAATGCTGTAATTCAAGACAGATTGCAATCGAAAGTTGTCACTACTTCCCACATCAACCAGTTTTCAAAGAAAATTCCTCAACATTAGTTAGATCAGCATTTAATGCATGAAGTAAAAAGAAAACATTTTCTTTCCTAATGACTGTTTAGCAAATGGCCAAATCTTCTAGAACTGCTTCCAACAATATAGCTCATATTTAGAGAGAAGAGGATTACTTCAGATATCAACAAAGTATTCCAGAAAATTCTGTGAAGGAAGATCACAGAGATTTGTTAAGGTTTCTCTGATGGAAGGATACAGAGATAAAAGAATTTTGCTATTGCTGTGTGGTAGTAGGATTAAACTGCAGTCTTTTTCTTTTGAAGGCCGTGATTCATTCACATTTGAAGAAGTACCAGCCACCTCTCAACTGTATTACTCAGAAGCATTAAACTTCCTTTTATCTTGGCAACTGTGTGACCTTCTGAAAAAGATGCAAATTTTTTCATTCAACAGGCAACTGAAATCATGGCAAATGTGCATTTCGGTTACAGAGGATGCCAGAAAACAGAAACAAAAGGGATTGATAATTAACTTTTTTCAAAAAAGTAATAGGATGATTGTAGGATAAACAACAAGATGTGGTGACGTTCAAAATATAGGATTAGGAGAGCTCCCAAAGACCAAATGGAGTTTGCTATCTGTTGCACATAAAGTGTTCGATCCAACAGAAATTGACTGATCTTGAAAAGTTATACTTACAAAAGGCCTGGGAAGAAAAACTTAGTTGGGATGTTGAACTCCCAGATGATATTAAAGAGAAAGTTTTAAAATGGTTGAATAATGTATCTTTATTGCCTTTGATAAAGCTTCCTAGGCAGGTAACATTAGATGATGCTCGTACAACTTAGATATTTGCCCTGATGCCTTGACAAATTTATATTCATTCACCTGTAGTTTACCTGAAAAGTGAAAATGAGAAGGAGAAAAAAGCAAAAAGTGCATCTTCTTCAAGCCAAATCTAGAGCAGCTCTGTTGAAAAAATGTACAGACCCTAGACTTAGGTTACTATCCAGTTTCATTGGGGTTAATTAGCTTCATCTGTGAAAAAAAAAAAAAAAAAAAAAAAAAAAAAATCTTGGGAATTCTTGAATTTTGAAAGAATACTGCTGGACTGATTCTACAACAGCTCTCTGTTGGATTAAGAATAAGGAGAATTGGGGAACATTCCAAACCAATAGAAAGATAATAGAATCCAAATGGTTGAAGGGCCCACACTGATTGGCACTGGCTGAAGATAAGTGGCCTATCTGAAATCCAGTTGAAAATGAAAAAGGAAATAACAGTTGAAAAGAAAAGGGTCATAACTTTAAGGGATTATAGAAAAGGGTTTATATTAAATCATGATAAGAATCATTAGTTTGAACTGACAACTTTATTGCATATTTTGATTACTGATTGTATATTATTAAACAAAAGGTGGGAGGTCTGGGACCTTAATTGTAACTGCAATTGCATTGCAAATGTACCTGTATCCAGGCAACTATTCTAAAGATTTCCACATCCCCTTGTAGACTTTATGTGTTAAGACTTCCAATTATTAATTGTTTAACTAGATAAAAATTATTTTTAAGTGAAAACAAGCACTTATAAGGAGAAAGTAGATTAGCAATCTATCTATTCTCAACACATGCTTGAGATACATTTTTTACATTTATAGACTAAGAATTTTATATCATAGCAAGAATTTCCGCATAACTGGCTAAAAAATATCTGGATGCCAAATTTTAACTTTAATGGGAATTTTTTAACACAGAGAATATATCAGTTTTTGTATAATATATTGAAAGTACACATCTAACCTGTTTGGCAGTTAATTTCTTTTTTCCTGGTGGATCAACTTCATCAGATTCTATAATTTTCCTCTTCTTAGTTGGTTTACGACCTACACATTTTTCCATGGCAATATTCTGTAAGAGAAAAAAAAAATCTTGTAACAAACAATTAGTATCATTTAAAAAACTTTAACAAGAAAAACAGTTAAAAAAGGAATACATTTTGATTACACATTTATTGAAAGGTTAGAAAAGTTAAATACAATAATGGGTTAAAAATACATGTACACTGTGCAAAAAAAAAGGGGCGGGCAGTTCTGTATCCTCCATTCTACTGGGCCAATTGATAAAATTCAAATTGTGTTAGTCATGTCTCAAAAGAGCGACTTAGGATATATATTAGATTTATATAGAGCATTCTTCTAAGTATTTGGACACAAAATTGGACTTTTTCCGAAATAATATATAATTTTTTTCCATATTTCGATTCTATGACTCAAATTATGCCTAGATATTAAATTTTGTAATTTTAGTGAGAAAATAATGTAGAAAGAAATTAAAAAATATATATTGGAGAATACTTATTTTCCAGTTTGCGTCAACGAATAATTCACTTGGCAAACTTATTAATTCATAGCAACCTATTTTCCTTTGCCTTTTTTCTTTGTACATGAGCGGGTAAAAAAGTCACCGTTCATACTTTCAAATAATTTGACCAAAGTGCATATACCACATTTTCGTTATTATCGCTTATAATAAATATGTCAAATTTCAAAATGCGCCAAAATGTAAATTCATGTACATCTTAGAAAATTTTAAATAAAAGAATCTCATTTTTTACAGGTATGCTCAGAAATACATCTACTTTAAGATGACTGCAAAAATTTTATAGGTAACTCAAATTTTTTTTTTGAAAAATTTATAAAAGTTATTTTAAAATACAAATTTAAAAAATAAATCATAAAAAATTGGCAAATTTTATTTGGAATGAACCTACATTTTGAAATATGAAAGGTAGAATCAAGGAACTTTAATAAAAAAGGATAAATATATATCAAATTCAATTAACATTGAGGTGCTACAATTTTGAGAGCTATTTTTTTAAAAACTACTCATGCAATTTTACAAAACTTGGCAGTTAGGCATAATTTGAGTCGTAGAATCGAAATATGGGAAAAAATTGGCATGTCATTTTAGAAAAAATCTGAGTTTGTGTCAAATTACCTATATTAGAAAAATGCCATATATAAATCTAATATATATCCATGTGGTATATATAAAATGTGTAGGTCGTAAACCAACTAAGAGGAGGAAAATTATAGAATCCGATGAAGTCGCGCTTTCGAGACATGAAAAACACAGTTTTAATTTTGTCAATCAGCCCAGCAGAACGGGAGATACAGAACTGTCCGATTTTTTTCGCAGTGTTCAAGAAAGGGACAGAGAAAGGACAACAATACAAAGGTTATTTGGGAAGTCAGTAAAAAACAAAATGCAATTCAACTGGTTTTGTTATACCGTTCTGTACACATTATATGGACCCACGCCCCCCCTACACACATTTAAAGGAATCTGGAGTAACTGTTCTACAGAAGTACCCTATATACCAAGTACTCTGGAGCTACACTTTATGTATCGAGTATTTAAAAATTAAAGTTACAATCCTGACCAAGAAGCACTAGACAAAAATATTTTGAGTCTAAAAAATGTGATGCCGATTGTTTTAGAAGAAATGCTCAAATGCATTTGTTAAAAACATCTTTTAGATTTACAGTAATTTTGTATTAGCTGCAATAGATGAACAACTGTCTGCAAGAAATTATTCCATGAATCTACTTATCTGTTCCTAATTTTGAAATATGAAAAGCTGTTTAACCCCTTAACTGGTTTGCTCATACAGTGTACAGGCTAATGATCATTGGGCGCATCTAGTTTGCTCGTATGGTGTATGTGCATCGCTATTTCTCCCTGTCTATTTTGATTTGCCGGTATTTTTAATATATTGAAAGAGAGACTTTAGTATTAGAAGATTTCAATAGATGGCGTAGCTTGTCCATGCCATTTAAAAGCATTCTAACCAGTTTTTTCTTTTGTTACCGGAAGTCGAAAATATTTTTCATTCTTGGTTCTTGAAAGTTTTGCTACACAGTTTTTTGGTTGTGAATTCAAAGCTCTTTAAGTCATGGATGATACTATAGATGATACTTTATTGTTAGATGCTTCTGATGATTCGGATACAAATTCAGAACTGTCTTGTAATGTTCTGGATAATTCTTCAGATGACACGTGTAGTGAGCTCAGCTCCGATGAAGACTTGATTTCTGCTAGAAATGTTATTGAAATTGATGTGGAAAACCTGCCTCTTCCATGTCCCAGGTTTAATTTTACTGGTGTTCCAGCAGTAAATATACAAATTGATGATACTTCTGATGAACTACAATTTTATGAAGCATTTATTGATTCTTCTTTGATGAATAAAATTGTAGAAGAAACACACAGATATGTGACGCAGTGCATCCGTCAAGCACTGCAAAAAAAATTCTCAAGAAGTAAATTTTGGGAATCAGTACTGGCGTAAGAGACATTCCACGTACACGCCTTTTTTCCCCCAAATAATAACTCATTGTCGATTTCATCTTTTGCAACGGTACTTACATTTTTTGGATAATTAAGCATTTGATGCACAAAGTCACGAATGCCCAAAATTAGTCAAATTATGGCCAGTTTTTATACATCTGAATGAGAAGTTTCGTGCGGCGGTGACACCACAACGTTATGTAACTATAGATGAAAGCCTTATGCTTTTCAAAGGAAGATTAGGATGGAAGCAGTATATTCTCCTAAAAAGAGCAAGATTTGGAATAAAATGCTTCATGCTGTGCAAATCAATTTCTGGTTATGTGTGCTCTATAATAATATATACAGGCAAAAAACGATTCTGAAACTAGAGTTTTCAAATCTATGTATTTCGTCACAAGTTGTTATGACAATGATGCATCAGTTACTGCATAAAGGATATTGTCTTACGACGGATAATTATTATTCGTAACCAGAATTAGCTGATAAATTAATTTTGTGTTGAACGGATAGCACCCTGAATCTAAAGAGAAAAGAAGTCCCAAAGGAAATGCAAAAGAAAAAACTAAAAAAAGGAGATATCATTGTATTTCAGAGAGGAAAAGTTACTGTTATGAAGTGGATGGACAAAAAAAAATTTTCATTACTGTCTACTATTCATAATACTGAAAAGGTAGAAATACAGGCCCGCTCTGAAACGAAACAGAAACCAAAAATTGTTATGGATTACAATAACACGATGGGAAGAGTAGACTGCATGGACCTACCCTTCTGGGATGACTTTTAAATATGGACGACCTGGTTTTGAGCCTAATCCTTTGAGACTGACCGAGAGACACTTCATAGAAATTATTGCTCCAACAGAGAAGAAACTGAGACCTGTCAGACAATGCGTTGTATGCTGTTCCAGAAGGAATGAAAGTGGAAAGAGAATCCAAACGGAAACACGGGATTTCTGTCTTGATTGTGATGTAGGACTTTTTCTAACACCGTGTTTCAAATTGTACCACTCAAAAAAGGACTACTCAACAATAGTATTGAAAGTATGAATTTTTAACATATGCAAGTTTATTTTTTTAGATTCGCAGTTCGTGAGATCTGTATAACAGTCTTCACTGAATAAACTCTATGATTACAAAAAGCCAACATGTAGGGGCAATTGTGTTACAAAGTTATAAAATAAAAAAAATGCTTAAATTCATTATTTATCAAATTTTTTTAAAAATTCTTTCATTTTCCTTTTATACTAAATTAGGACTTTAATTATATGCAATAAAAAATATGCTTTTTCTTTGGAATATTTCTGGGAAAAAATTGATCAGTTAAGGGGTTAATAATGTGGCGAGAATAATGCGGAAATTTATGTCTTTATAAAAAGAATTTTTTAATTGATTTCGTATTTTTTTTATTTAATTAAAATGCACTGCACTTATTTTCTAAACAACAATTCCTGTTCCCTTTTATTTTAGCATCTAAATTTAAAAGCTTTAATAAAATGTTTAAAACTATTAGTCATTTTTAAATACATATTAATGCTTCAATTTAAAATTTTCTTTACATTATTGGAGGTGTTAAGGCAACAAGAATCAGTAATATTCGGAAATTAAATTCTCTCCATAGATTAGCTAAAAATTGCAAATATTTTATGTAAATTCAATTAATAAATCATTTTCTCTCCTATCAATAAAATTCGCAGTTCAAGACTTAAAGACCCTATCCCACATATGAACTCCTGAGGTATATACAAAATTCCAAAAATGCCAAGTTGGTTTAATTTATACTGGTCAAACTAAGACAGCCTTAAAATATTGTGCTAAGGAACAAGAGGCATATACTAAGAAAAAAGAAACCACTTTTCTATTTTCAGCAGCTAAAATCATCCCCCCCCCAAAAAAAAACTCTTCCACTGGAGAAATAGATTTTCTAAAGGCGTTTCACATTCATAAAAAATCTTTCAGTTATAGTTAAGGATCACAATTTCAATCCATCTTTTACCCTTGGCTTTTAAGGAAATTATTTCATGGCTGCTTTCACTTTTCATTAATAGATGGTGCCAGTAGCTTGATTTCCTTCTTCTTACTGTTACTGCCTAAGCACGAGCTTCTTTTTCACAACTTGCACTTAAACTAGAAACTTCTTCAGCTGCAGGAGCTGAAGAAGGTGGTTCTACATTAAACATTTGAAACTAGTTTTGCAAATTTACGAATATTGATTCTTGTATGATGGCTATCACAACCATCTCATGGTAGCAGTTTTAAAGTGCTCAAATGTGGTGCAAAATTTTCAAATTATCCATTCACAAAAAATAATTTCTATCTAATTTACCATGTGAAACCAGCATTTATGTCTAATAAGGACATGGATACTTGCTCTCCTGATACTATACAGCCAAATTTGCAAATAATGGCAAACCAAATACTCATCAAACTTGTTCTGTGCATTTCCTTTATTTTTACATTATCATCAGGAAGATACTGTAGGGAAGTATGTGGTAAACCGTACAAAGATAAGAAATTCACGTGTGCAGTGGCCAACAGGTCATAGTGTTCAAGCTGTTATGATGTGTGAGACAACAAGCTCTGACCCTGCAGAACCATAATTTGTTCAGTTATGGCTCCACTTGACATTTCAAGAATCATAACTTTATGGCTAGTGTCAAGGGATTTTAATGATCAGTTTTATATCTGTAAAATAATTTTAAAAAACACTTATTTAGGCTTATTTAGGTTTATTTAGGCTTAAATAGAAGTTGGCATCTGGTAATTCTGTTTACACGTGAGCTTTCCTTTTCAATGCTGAACAGCGTGACGCTGCTTGGGGGTAAGGTGAAAAAGTGGGAAAGAATGTAAAAAAAAAAAAAAAAAAAAAGCTTTGGTACCTCTCGCCCCCTTTGTCTTCCATGCATTTTGTTTTTAAGTCATTCCCCCCACCCCAGTTCTATGGCGATAACAAATCGAACAAAAGAACTTGCAGCTTGCATGTCATATATTGGGTACCCAAAGAGAGAAAGAAATGAAATTCATTCTCCTGTCATATTGCTAAGAACTAAGCAATGGAAATGACTTGAAAATCAAAGCAACAGAATTTTTCTAAATAACAACTCAAACAAATTTAACAGTGAAAGAACAAAGCTTTCTTAACTTAAGAAATCAGATAAGACCACTACACAGAATGGAAAACTCACTGAAAAACATTCCTTGATTAAAATGTTTACAATCAAGGAAAAAAAAAAAAAATAAAAAATAAAAAAAAAAAATAAATAAAACTGCCAATTAAAAAAAATTTAGTACAAAAGCACTAACGATCTAAACGTGAGGAATCTCTTAAGATGCACAAACTAATTTAAAAATGGAAACCTAAATTAAACAAGAATTAATTAAATTTAATTAAAAGTCAACACAAATTTGTGATTATGTCATCAGTCATCTCTAACTTCATTTGCAACTTTTTGCGACATTTTAGTTTTCCTTTGCTACTTTAGTTGAAAAATCTCTGACATCACTACCAAAACCTCTTGATTTCAGGGAGAGTGATGACGAACTCATGAATCCTGTTTCTCCTCTGATATTGTTTCAACTATAATGAATCAGAGGACGTAAAATTTTGCTTAAAAATTTAAGAGAGCATGAACAATTCAGTCTGCAAACTTTTTATACAAGATAAGAACTCAGAATGCTCTTAAACTCTTGAATAGAGAGACTCTTGCTGCTTGCAAGATCCTCACATAATGATGACAATAACTTAAAATTCTTATTTTACCTAAGTATTTAATATTAATAGTTAATATTAAATAATTTTTGTATTAATAATACAGCTGTATTTTTAATTCTATATATACTGAATAACATGCAATCTAAACAAATCACAATTCAGTTACCAATCCTTACATGGAATCACCATATCAGTGCAGCTTCCCATCATCACCCCACATATATATGACAATATTAATATGAATTTTAATGACGGGAAATACTCAACTTTTAATTTCTAATTATTTTAATCAATAATCTCGGTGCATTCTGAACACAATTCTTTTCCCTTTCACTGTAGCAAATTAAGTCTTATAATGAACCACCTCAAAATGCACTATGCTTAAAAAATAAAAATAAAATTTTTTTCTTAAATTCTAGGCTGAATTTTGACTTTACAGCTATTAATTAATCTCTGTTTGGCAGCTCACTAAAAACAAGAAAAGCACGCATCAATTATTTCAGCCTGGCCACAACGATGAGTTTGCTAGGTTTGGTTTATTTGATTATGGCAAAGCATGCTAGGTCTATCGGAAGGGATACCTTCGTGGAGGATTTTCTAAGGGAAACTGGCTCATACCCCCAATACACATATGGAAAACTATGAAAACATTCATGTAGCCAGCCTGCTCATCTAAAATCAAACTCAGATTAAACTCAAGTCTTTCCAGACTCATGTATGATGTAGATATTTTTGCAGTAATATTGATTGCAGCAATTTAATTTTAGAAGTAACCTGAAAGATTTCTGCTACAAATCAGTTTATTCACATTAAAAAAAAAAGTTTTTCTTAATGTGAAACTCCTAATATTTTTATTTAAATCAAGTACTCTGAAGACCCACTTCATAGGTTATGCTATCCTTCTCAGAAACGGTAGATTTTCCTCTGTCTTGGAGAACAGCTTCAGAGTTTCACACATAAGAATACCTCAAAATGTTATCATATCTAGTATCACAAAATTTAAAATGTTATCACATTTAGTATCACAAAATTTTTCAATCATAAAAACTTAAGCTCAAAACAAACTAAAATTAAACTAACAGGCAAAAATCAAAGTTATATTTTTACATTCAACATCATTCCCCAAGATGGGGAAAACTATCTTAGTTCTACATATGAAATACATACATAAGGAATATTTAAAACTTATTGATTAAAATAGTATTAAATTTTATCATAAACCTGATTTGAAATTTCTTCACTGTCATTGACTTCATCATCAAGATTAAAATGCACTTTCTTCACAGCTATATCTTCTTTGACATCTTTATCTGTTGTTTTGTCTATATCTTCGTGACTCGAGACTTCAGCATTTTCACAAACATCATCATCAAAATCAAAATGTATTTTCTGTACTACACCTTCTTTAGTAGCTTTATCTGCAGCATTTTCTACATCTTTGTGACATAAAATTTCTTTACTATTTTCATCAACTCCTTCGTCAAAATTAAAATGCACTTTCTTAACAACTGTATCTTTTTCCACTTCCTTTTCTACAATCTGTTCAACCTCTTTGCTATTCTCTACATCTTTTGGTTTAGCAAAAGGCTGAACATCATCTTCAGTAAAATCAAATTTTACTTTTAGGTCACTAAAATCCTGTTCTGAGACATCCAGGTTTAGCTTTATAGAGTTACCACCTTTACTAGCATCCACTTCAGTAGTTCCTTTCTGCAATATAACCACCCAATGTTAATTCATATGTTTGATAAAATAGACTATATACAACAAAAAATAAATGAAACATATTTTCATTAAAATAAGTAAAACACATGAAGATACTTTCGAATAAACAAACAGATAACTATCACCAGATCAAAAATAAGCAAAAGAGCTGCCATATTTCTTATAAAAAGAAAACTACTTTTAGTACTTTTGTCTACACTGGTAATTTTGTAAAAATTCCTCATCAATATTTTACATATAGTTGCTTTCAGAAAAGAAGATGAATAATCCACCACATGCATAGAAAAAAGCAGTTTTAAAAGATCACACACATCATAATTTCAAAGGCCTAAGGAGGTCACCAGCTAAGTATCCCCAGGGGCACCCAATAAATGAGTTACTTTTTAGAAAAGTATAACACAAATTTTGAGATTCAAAATTGACAGGACTCTGATGATTTCAAAAATTCTCAGATTTTAGCTCATCAATTTATTTTAGAAAGACAGCATGTACAATTGGGAAAACTGGGGCTTCCTTATTTTAGGAAAATACCAGGCAGCAGAATTTAGGTGTCGCTGATATCGCACCGAGTGGCAAAATGGATAATAAGAGGTCCTGGCACCCCATATCTACTCAAGGATTGAAAGTATAATCCTGGTCATAATGCGACTCCCTAGCCAGCAGGTTTTTGAAACTGACACGCAGAAATCTCAGCTAATACAGAGAAAATTTACATTTATAGCATAGCTGCTTCCTTTCGTTATTATATTCTCTCTCTCTTTTTTCCTGCTGGTCTAGATGTTGGATACCTGTATCTGAGACTTAGTAAAAAGAAAATCTGAGCTTTAAGATGAGGGATGTCTAAAAGTTCACTGGAGATGAACACCCATTTCATAAATCTGCCAGAGGGAATAAATCTATAAACTCATTACACTAATCATGATTTATAGCTTTACTTATCTTAAACTTTTCATTAACCAAACTGCAGGTTATCTTAAGCAAATATCAAATACTATTACATTTCGTTTTCAAACTTTAATGATACAAAAATAATTTCAAAGTTTAATAATGATTTAAAATTTTCAGTATTTTTAATATAATTTGAAACATAATATATTTGTCAGATGATGTAATTTAAAGTATTAAAAGAAAAAGATTTCAAATAAAAATATTAGGTGTCAGTTAGGCATTTATAAGTTATTTAATTAAATGCACAGGACAAGCAGTTTCAGTATATATAGAAATAAGGAAAAACTGATTGTGTTTATTGGACATGATTAACTGTCTGTTTTATTCACAAGCAGATGTTCAACCCTCAAGCATGAATGAGTGCAACAATGGATTTCCCCAGTGCTAAACTCACTTACACTTAAGGTTTTTTGTTGACACTTTCCTCTAATTGTCATAAATTGATCCTCACTAAATGATGCTCACTACTGCAAAAAACTAGAATGCTTGAAAAAGATGACAGGATAATCAATGCAGAATGTTGCTCGAGACATTATTTTTACTTCTTTGTACGAAGTAAAAAGGAAGTATTGTAATCGCGAAAAGTTTCAGGCAGTATATTTCAATGAAAATATCCCATTTTGACTGCTATTGAATGCAATTTAACAATGTTTTTGCATGATATCTGTACCTAAGCACAGAATAAAAGACACATTTCCTCCAAAAAAATTATAAAACTGCTTTAAAATGAATTCTGAAGAGAATATTTCATGACGTCTGTACGAACGTATGTACGTACGTATCTCGCATAACTCAAAAACGAGTAGCCTCAGAACGTTGAAATTTTGTATATAGGACTGCTATAACATGTAGATGTGCACCTCACATTTTTGGTTGGCAATCGGCCGCACCAAACGTTATATAAATATCCACTCTGTTACCCCCGGCTCAGTGATCTCAGTTTCTTTACTCTTATATGTTTGTAAATTGTACATTTTTTGCTTTAAAAATGATTGAATTATGTTGTTCTTATCTTCCGGTTACGGTTTTTACGCCTTTAGTAAATCTGTATGCAATATTTTTAGAATTATCAACAATTTCAAAATTGTTTAAGTGCCGCTAAGCCTAATAATGTTTTTGATGGTGGCCATTGCTCTTGTTTACATTTGAAACAGCAGGATAGCGGATTTGATGCCAATCGAGAGACACTTAGCTTCGCAACAACAAAGATAATGCCTTCATTTATTATTGCCAATTAAATCATGCTTAATCCTTTTTGGAATTTTTTCGAGGAAATAAATGTTTAAGATTTATTTCGTAATTTTTAATTAAGATTATTTGAGGTTTTATGTATTTTTACCTTGTCGTGAAGTGAAAACTGAATTAATTGAATGAGAAATACTCAATTGTCTGTGAAAAACTGTTTCTTTTTTGTTTTGTTTGCTTAATTTCTTTTATACATCATTCTAGCTTTATTATAGTATTTGAATAGAACATGTGGCAACGATTAGATAATTCTTTAAATAATATAAATTTTGTGCATTCTGAGTTATAATATGAACGAAATACAGTCAAAAGTCGTTAATCCAGACTCGATGGGACTTTGGCGATTCCGGATTATCGATTTTTCCGGATTATAGATCATCAGTTTAAATCTGGTAAGATGGCATGCAGAAATTATAAAATTAAAAATATGAAACCGCAATTTATGAAATAAAGAGCAATTATGATCTAAAGGGTATCAAAATTTACAAAAAAAAAAGCTTAATATTTATTTGTTTATTTTATTAAACATTTCTTTCAATGTAAGTTGTGTATGTTGCTTCATTTTTTGTTCTAATACTTTCTCTTGAATTCTATAAACAGACATAATTTCTTCTTCACTTACAAAGTTCCGCTGTTCAAGTCCTATAATTACTGTGTCGAGGATACCGACTAACTTGTCAATCGAAATTTTTTTGTTTTCAATAACCTCTGTGTCACTTTCTTCACTATCGGAAGCGAGTTATAATGACGAAGAATTTGATTTAAATCATAACAAAGGCGGAGTACATCGAGATGAAATACTACATTTAGTAAGGAATTATAAGCCAAATAAAATAAAAACATCTGCCCTGAAGATAAGGATAGTGCCGACAAATCAACTTCCAATTTATTGTGCGCCCCCGTGGTGTTTCCCCCCTCCACAGCCGCAGAGCAGCGTGAAATTGATAAACAGATTTCGGAATGTTTAGAAAAACAAAGGATATGCCTTTATCCATTTTTTCCATCAATTCCACTTTTTGTTTAATGGACTTCGAAACATACTTCCGCTTTGTAGATCCATATTAGTAAATATATATCGGAAATTCTATTTGATATAATCGAAAGTTCAAGCTTACTTTTATAAAATTGCTCTAACAGTCTGCAAAAAATAGTACGCCGGATTGAAGATTAAGGAACGCAATCTGCAACATTAACTGAATTAGATAATTTTAGCTTAGCTTATACCGTACGTTATACATTAAACGCGAATGCATAAACGTATTATGCGCATGCGCACAAGCATATTCGCAGACGTAAAGGTCTTACGCGCATGCGTCAACGCGACGCAAGCACAGAAAGTTTGTAGCTTTGAGGTCCGGATTATGGGTGTCCGAATTAATGACTTTTGACTGTATAATAACCTAGCGCCAGAGTGTCGCTATGGTAAACAAAGTGAATTTTAAAGAATGCATTTATTCTATTGTGGTTTATGCGCTGTCAGCGAAGTAGGTTTAATTCAATAAGTTTAAATGAAATGCAAGAAAAAATGAGTATAATTTAATATTCCGCACAAGAAGTCATGTGGTGTACACATCAGATTTTTTTTAAGTTAATGCAAAGCAACTGTCACCTCCATAAATATACAACAGTTCAAATGAGATGTTCAAATGAGATGTATTCTTTTTGTTTGGGGATTTTCATGCCTTTGACACAACATGAATGCTCAGCAAAAAATGCACTTTCTTCATAGCTCTACAACCAGTTTAAATTACTGAAGCAGAAGAGAAGTAGGCATGCTAATACAACTATGGAATTGTCTCAACAATTACAGTGAATAAAATTCTATTTATTTATCAAACAATCCATCTATTTACTTCGATGACACCATTAACATCACTAACTCCAACTTTTCCTGAATAAGGGTCAGTAATGCTTATCTATACTATACATGTAAATATGTTAATCTAGGTAGATTACTCTCAGTTGAGCTGGTGAAAGAAAATAAAAATTACAGGCCAAGCTAGCTGAGATAAATTTTCTTTCAAATCTAGTGCCTTACTTTAATGTTGCACTCTACATCATTATTCTTCAAATCCAAGTATATGCACTAACTTTAATTTTTAAAATAATGTATAAGAAAACATAGAAAACAGAAACAATGAACAAATACTATTTTTTCTAATCTTTTCACGATATATATAAGGTGATTCCCTAATGTGTGCATAAACTTTGGGAGGGGTAGGTTAGTCAAAAGATGAATTGAGATCAGATAGTGATGCATGGTCAATCCTAACACAGTACAGTTAGTTGTTAGAGAACCAGTAAAATATCTGCAGAGGAAATCCATCATTAAAAAATTGTTCGCATAGGTAGTAGTGCACCTGTGCTGGGAGCACTACATGATGAGGCCACTAGCTGTCTGCATGACTGTATCAAAGATTATGTGACACAGGTTCCTTTGAAATGTGCTAGGAATCAGGGACAAATGGCAAGGACCCCTGAAATCAAAGATGATGCTTTATCAAGAAGAAGCTATTATGTACTATATATGAGCAATCACTGCCTTCCCAGGATCACGATCTAGACGATACTGAAATCAAAGCAACTGCACCCATACCACAGCAGTGCAAACAGCTATTCTAGCCTTATGATCACTCACAGAGGATCATATTGCTCAATGGTATCTGCAGCACAGTGTGGCAACCCTTTTTTTAGGTTTCTCTTCACAAAGGAGACATACTTAATTTGGGAAAGTTCTACAATACACTTTTACTTGCATGCATGGGAAGTGAAGAATCTGCATGCTACACTAACACAATGCTGATTTGCACTAGAAAATTCCATGAATTATTTACAAGTCTATTTGGTTATGTACAATAATTGTATATTTTTGCTCAAACATAAAGGGGTTCACCAAGTTTGATACAGTTAAGCCAGTCTGAGTTATCTTAAGATAAATGCAACTGCATATATCAGGTATAATGAATTAACTCAGGTTACGTCCTTAAGTGGTTAATGATCAGACCTTTCTTTTAAACTGGAAGTAGTTTTCTTTCAAATTAATCTGAGTAATAAACTGGTTAAGCTATAATTATTTACGTTGTAAGTTAAACATTTTGACTGGTCATTCAAAATAGACAATTCAATTCATTTAATACAAATATTAAGATTATAAATTTGGGGATAGTGAGACCTCAATTTCTGTTCCTTCTTTGTTATTTTCAGATGAATTACTTTCACATGATGTATTTGATTCAGCCTGAGTCATTTCCTGTTGATTAGATTCCTTCTTATTCTAAAAACGGAAGAATGAAAAATTTATTAAATAAATGTTTCATTGAAATAAAGATTCTTATTTCAGAAGATGAATAAATAAAAGAATATACACACACAAATATATATATCAGAAATATACATCATACCAGAAACCTGATAAAATATGTCTCCTGCATGATCATGGGTAATATTATTAAATATAATGTAATTATGCTTTACTTTAACATGACAGTAATACAGAAATAATAATACTAATGGATGAATAGTAATAACAGATTTAATTTTTTTTCAAAGAATGAAAAAAAAAAAAAAAAAGGTAAACTTTTTAATCATGATACATATCCAATAAGATAAGATCATATCAAAGAGTGATAAGAAAATATTAAGGGCATGTATGTCACCAGATTTTATAATGTAGCATTGAATACACCTCTATATTGCTTCATCAGGTTAATGCTACATTATATAACAAGATAAAACAGACAAATCATATGAAGTTATGCTGTTAGTAATAAGAGTTTTCTTAAGGAATTGAATTACTGAAGCACAAAGATAACTGCATTAAACATGGACTGGAGAATAGACTGTTTTAAAAAAATAAGTTTCTATCCATATTTCCCCATACACCATTTAAAAAAACTATTACTTTTAAATTTTTCTTCATATTTTTCCATACAGTCACATTACACTGCTTTTTATATTTTATTTCAAATTAATGTTAATCTGCTTTATAATATACACAAAAAACTTTTGGAATTAAACTGAGATTTTACAGCTTTTTTAAAAGCAATAGAATACAAACTTTCTCCTTTTCTATTTTGATTCATTGCAAGAGAAATCAGTAATAATCTTTTGGGTAATTTTTTTTTTTTTTTTTTTTTTTTTTTTTTTTTTTTTTTTTGTTTTTTTTTTTTTTTTTTTTTTTTTTTTTTTTGTTTTTTTTTTTTTTTTTTTTTTTTTTTTTTCTTTTTTTTTTTTTTTTTTTTTTTTTTTTGTTTTTTTTTTTTTTTTTTTTTTTTTTTTTTTTGTTTTTTTTTTTTTTTTTTTTTTTTTTTTTTTTTTTTTTTTTTTTTTTTTTTTTTTTTTTTTTTTTTTTTTTTTTTTTTTTTTTTTTTTTATTTTTTTTTTTTTTTTTTTTTTTTTTTTTTTTTTTTTTTTTTTGTTTTTTTTTTAAACAGCTTTTTTTTTTTTTTTTTTTTTTAAAAGCAATTAAACAAAATCATTCATTTTCTTAGAAAATTAGTAAACTTTTCTATTTATTTCAAAATGAAATATTGACGTTTTTTTCCCTTTTTTTTTTTTTTTTTTTTTTTTTTTTTTTTTTTTTTTTTTTTTTTTTTTTTTTTTTTTTTTTTTTTTGTTTTTTTTTTTTTTTTTTTTTTTTTTCTTTTAGTTAGAAGTATTCTTCTAGTAAAGATATTCTAACTTCAAAATAATTACTTCTTCAAGATAATCTTATTTTGTATATAGTGCAATCTCTGTAACAACTGTGACACAATTTAGAGACATCATGTATGACATGAGATGCTTTCCAAATTATTTGCAAGTAATTTTATGTTTATTCTCAAAGTTGAATAATACATCAGAATTTAATAAAGAAAGGAATATGAAAAAAAAATCTGTTGTTTATATAAACAAATCAAGTTAATTGCATTTTTATAATTTAAGGATCTGGTTAGATTTTAAGCAAAATACCTCGAATTAAATCTGAACATTTTCAATATTTCTTAATTCACATCCATCCATACATGTGTATGTATAATATGCATACCCAAACTTCTGAGATTTTGATGATTGATGAATTTTGATTCTTCCCTTCAATCTACTGTAAGAACACTAATTAAAAACAGACTGCTTTCAAAATAGTTAACTATTAAAAGTTACTTAAATATAAGTTTAATTCACTAATATGTTTCCAAGTATTTAGAGAGAATTTTTTAATTTTCTTTCAGTGCTTTTGTACTTATTCAGAAATCCTAATTGTAATGAACACATCTCTCTCTTTTTTCTTTTTAAAGTTAGATTTATCCTCTTTCCCACCCCAATAATTTTCTACTAATTAAGAATATTTTTACTTGCTTTCCATTAGATTATATTATTTGGTTTTTGCAAATTTAAGGAAAATAAATAAATACATACGTATCACTACTTTCAAATTCTGACTAAATTTCATTTTTCTTCCATTTTAACTAAAATTTTGTTACAAATGTTCAAAACAGTCTAATTTCATTCCCAGTTAAAAAAACAAATGTTTACTGATTTGAATACAATTCAATTTACTATCTTCTTTTGTAACATTTCTTTCCAGTATCTTTTGCCAATACATCAAAATCTCTCTCATGTCTGAAAATATAAACAAAATGTTTCTTCTGACTAAGAAAAAGAATATAAAAATTCAGAAATTACTAGAAAAAGAGAGGCATAATTTTCACCAGAAAATCTTTGCTATAGTGAAATTATACAAGAATAATGCATATTTTATAATTTAACTAGAGTAAAAAAAATCATAATCTGTAAATAAAGTAACATACCTCATCTACTGGTGGTTTTACAAAATATGGTAGTTTCCCTCTTTGAAAATCATTCAAAATCATTTTAGCAACAGTTGAAATATCTGGTTCACCACCCTGAAAACAGAGGGGGGGGGGAAGTCACATTATTATAAATGCATATACAGAGGTTTATTATGAAACTTCAGATATTATTACTTGGAAAATTAGTTACTAAACTAGCCAGCAAAATTACGTTTAACATAAATATGCTCCACTATTAATTGCACAAGATGGCTCTTGTATTACTAAACCAAACTAATAGCTCAGTATTAAGTTTAAAAGCATGAAACCTACTCAGAAGAATTCTACAGATGTTTCAAAACTGAAAATAACACTTATTAATATACTTAATAATTGTGATCATTGCTAAGATATCAGAAAAATCAGTACTTTGGGATTACCCCGTCGACCATTTTTGATGAACCCGATATTATTGCCAGAAGGTAGCTTCTGAGCCAGTAACCACAAATAACTGTGTAATCCTTGACTACATGAGTTAGTTTTCTTTAGCATGTTGAAATATACTGCTTTTTTTTTTTTTTTAGTCCAATGCAAAATGATTCAAATTTGGGATTTGCCTAGCACTGAAGAGAGTGCAGTGGCATATTTTCAAGAGTATGGAATCATTTCTAGGAAAATGTGTGTTAAGTGGCATATTTTCAAGAATCATTTCTTCTATGAAAATGTGTGTTAATGGCCACAATATAGCATTGTATATGAAAACTAATAAGCAGTGGCGATGCAATGTAAAGGGGTGTGATAAAAGAGTAGCTATTTAAAAAGGTACGTGGTTGGAGGGCTCAAAACTTCCGTTTCTGACTGCCCTCCTGTTTATTTACTACTAGTTGCAACAATTAACATCAACTGAATGGGAAGAAAAACAGCTGGATTTAACAGGAAAGGCAATTGTTAATTGAAACAATTGTATGAGGGAAGTGTGCACTCATAACCATAACGTGATGCGAAACAAATAGGAGGTCCGAACAAAATTGTAGATATAGATGAGAGCCTTTTTACAAAGCGCAAAAACCAAGTCGGTCGTACCCTTCCAGAACAATGGATATTTGGGGGATTCTGCAGAGAGACCAACAACTGTTTCATCGCAAAGGTTCCCAATCGAAATGCAGTAACTCTAAAGAAAAGAGAAAGTAACTCTAAAAAAGAAAAAATCTAAAGTTAAGCTCTCTCACTAAAAATTCAAGTCACGTGAAAAACAATTCTTAATTTTAGATCAGCATTAAATTTGTTTATGATGTCAATTAATTACAATAACCAGCATAATATATAACACAGAATATTATTTGTTACGTAAAAAGCATCCTGAATCATTTTTTTTTCCTTCTTTTAAAGTATTATACTGAAAAGAACCTTTAGAAGTTTTCCACTGCGCCTGGCATATTGTTCAAGAAAGTCCACAGGATCAGTCCAAGATTCAACTTTATATGTCTTCTGGAGATACTCTTTTTTCACTCTTTCAAGAACTTCTGGAATATGGTCTTCTGGTGTCTGAATGTTTTCAACTCTTACCTAAGTAACAAATGGATAAAAAAATATCAAAATCAGTAAAAGTAGCATCAGGAATATTTGAGAAAAAAATATGAAATTTTTCAACATATTAATATCAAGGAGGGAAGCTGTCTCATAGGCTGAATTCAGCCCAATTTCTTAATTTGGCCTGTTATGAAACAAGACAAACACTTGCTAACTGTTGAGCTTTGCCCCAATTCTGCTGAAGAACATCCCAGCGAACAGCCCCAAAGTCTCCAACCCCTTTTCTCTACTAGAATGAACTTTCAGCTTGTTGTATATATTTAATGCTCCCTTGCTGCATAAACACTATACAGTTACAAACATCCATGCTTCAGGCCATTGGTACAGCAGCCAATGTTCTGACTTGGTGGTCATCCTGCAAACAATAGGTGCCACTATTGGCAACAACTATTCAACAACCACTATTCTGACTTGGTGGTCATCGTGCAAACAATAGGGGTGCCACAAATGATCACCACGGGCCTGTGCAACATGATGCTCTAAAAAGAATCTTTTGGGACTGCCTTAAAAAGTTCTTTTCAAACTTAAAAGTATTTGCCCACTCCTGCATTAAATGTTGCATTTGACACTAGACACTGACCTGAGGACTGATGCAATTAAATAAAATAGGCTTTTAATTTTTAGGTCATTTAGACCATTTAAAATAGGTCGGGCATTTATCACGTTAAACTTAGTAAAATTATAACATTTAATAGAAAAAGAAACTATATTCTAATTTTTTCCCCTACTATACAAAGCATATAAATGCTAAATAAGAAAAAGTTCTTGTTCCAATTCCTTTTTTCATTTGATTATTTCCATTAAACTTATTGAATGTAAAAAAAAAAAAAAAAAAAAAAAAAAAAAAAATTATATGAAAAAAGATACACACATAATTCATTTTGAATTTATGACTGCTATACATGAATGCTATACAGCTATATTTGATTTCTGGGTTCATTTTATAACAGGTTTGCAATTTTAGACAAAAAAGACTGTACACAATCTACAAGACATAACTTAAAATCTATTCTTTGCCATTATAGCATTTGAAAATATATATGAATATATTGATTTTTTTTTTTTTTTTCAGTTTATATGTGTGTGCATGCATATATATCTCATTTTATCATTTTAGTGCTTCATTTTATTACATTTGCAGATGTTGCACTTTTCTTAAACAAAGTAAGGGTGCATGGCAAACCTGCATTCAGCCTTCGTGTCACTTTGCTTGTCTGTTTCTGCATCACTTCCATATAATTCTCAAATTTTAAAGTTTATTATTATTATTATCTCACATGTCAGATCAAATAATAATTTTAATTTAGTTATCACTTGCTGGATGATTAAGGTATTTTTTCTACAAAATTTTTAAGCTTAAAATGAAAATGGCAATGGAACTGGAAGATACGACTGGATTCACTGGTGAAGACACAACATACTATGTTTAAGTTAAAAGATACTTTTATGGAGGACTTTTAGGAGGCAAACTGATTCATAGTCAATTTGCACATGAGAAAAATCATGAAAACCCAACTCATTATATCACTGGGACTAGAACTTGGAACAAAATGCCCATACTTCACAGATTTAAACAGGAAGAAGAAGGAAAGAATTCAAACACAATACCTAGCCATTTCAGCATTACAATGTACTTTGATACCATCTTCACTAAAAAATTGGAGGTAGAATTCTTAATTGTTACAGTTCGCAACAGTATTAAAAATTAAGTCTTCACATTTCTGATTAAATTAAATTGTTTCGTGGATTTCATTTTGGCAATAAATTTAGTCACTACATTTACCGAAGTGGTTCATTAAGTACCTTTCTCTGCATTAAATTAACAATGAACACTGCAAAAGCTATTTAAATTATTATTATAAAACAAATATTTGCAAGAGTAATTCCACAGCCATAACAACTGAGTTTGGATTTATTACACAATTTTAACTATCAGATATATTCAGCACATCAAAATTACTAAGAGATGATTATTTTTATGTTGGATACCATGCGGATGGTGCACAGTGTACTGCATTAAATTATTATTCATGGCCTCTAATCTTCAAAAACTAATTTCAGCTACTTCTAATCACATTATATTTTAATTTTTATTAAAAACTATACAATTACCTCAAACTAGTACCAGTACATAGAATCTCATTCATTACCTTTTAAATAAAAAAACTAGAAATTATTATTATTAGCTGGAAAGACATACTGAATACTGTGCTGAGACATGTCCAAAACTGTGTCTTTGAGCAAAGAGTTAGCCTAACAATGAATGTAATGTGACTGGTTCTCATACAATTACACAGTAGGTTTACGGTAATAATTTACAACACATAATATTGCTGTAATTATATGTATTTAAACTCATAAGTAATTCTGCCATTTACAGCATTGTAGAAATTGTTAAATTTTTAGAATGCACTAAATTTTAACAACCATGTACAATTCTTCAGTTTTAATAAGCAATGCCACAATACCAATTCAAAAAAATAAGTTTAAAGGAAATATAGCAAAAAATGTATATAATTTTAATATTCCTTCAAGAAAGTCATGTGGCATACACAACACATCAGATGTTTACTTCCTTGTACGAAGTAAAAAGGAAGTATTGTAATCGCGAAAAGTTCCAGGCAGCATATTTCAACGAAAATATCCATTTTGACCGCTATCGAATACAATTTAACGATATATTTGCGTGACATCCTGTACGTAAGAACAAAATAAAGGACTCGCTTCCTCCAAAAAAATTTTTAAGACTGCTTTAAAATTAATTCTGAAGAGAAATTTTCCGTGGCGTCTGTACGAACGTATGTACGTACGTATCTTGCATAACTCAAAAAATGAGTAGCCTCAGAAGCGTTGAACACTTTGTATATAGGACTGCTATAACATGTAGATATGCACCTCGTATTTTGGTTGCAATCGGCCGCACCAAACGTATATAAATATATTTATATATATATACACTCTGTTACCCGCCTCAGTGATCTCAGTTTCTTTACTCTCATATGTTTGTAAATTGTACATTTTTTGCTTTAAAAATGATTGAATTATGTTGTTTTTATCTTCCGGTTAAGGTTTTTATGCCTTTAGTAAATCTGTATGCAATATTTTTAGAATTATCAACAATTTTAAAGTTGTTTAAGTGCCGCTAAGCCTTTTTTTGTGGCAGACATTGATTGTTTACATTTGAATCAGCAGACTAGTGGATTTGTTGCCAATCTAGAAAAACTTAGCTTCGCAATAACAAAGATAACGTCTTCATTTATTATTGCCAATTAAATCATGCTTAATTCTTTTTGGAATTTTTTCGAGGAAATGTTTAAGATTTACTTCATAATTTTTTATATAGATATTTTGAGTTTTTATGTATTTTTGCCTTCTTGAGAAGTGAGAACTGAATTAATTGAATGAGAAATGCTCAATCGTCTGTGAAAAACTGTTTCTTTTTTGTTTTATTTGCTTAATTTCTTTTATACATCATTCTAGCTTTATTATTTATTATAGTATTTGAATAGAACATGTGGCAACGATTAGATAATTCTATTCTTTAAATGATATAAATTTTATGCATTATGAGTTATAATATGAACGAAATATAATACTATTAAGTGAATCTAGCACCAGTGTCGCTATGGTAAACAAATACTAGAGTGAATTTTTAAGAACGCATTTATTCTATTGTGGTTTATGCGCTGTCGGCGAAGTAGATTTAATTCAATCCAATAAGTTTAAATGAAATGCAAGAAAAATGCATATAATTTAATATTTCGTACAAGGAAGTCATGTGGTGTACACATCAGATTCTTTCTTAAAGCAAATGTCATGAAATTTCTATCAGAACATAGGGAAAAAAAAAAAAAAAAAAAAAAAAAACCCTCATTTAAGTAGGTTTATTGATTGATTTTTAGGACAAACACCTAATTTAAATATAAAACATGATAAGTATATATGCAATATTTTTTTGCAACTATTAATCATCAATTTCAACTCTGTAAAAATCAGCAAACTGCCTCAAGGTGATTGCACTAAAATACAAAGTCTGAGATTTGGAATCATGAGGGTAGGGTGTCAGAAATTTCAGATTTCAGAAAGTCTAGAATTTTGGATCATCATTTTAAATCTAGTAAGATCACATGGCCACATGGAGCCATTCTTTGTTGTTTTGGTCAGATAGAAGATTGATAATTTTTTTAACAGGAGGCAGTGCAGCTGCAGCAGACAGGGGGAAATAAAAAATCCAATGCCCCTTATAGGCCTACTAGGCGTTATAGGCATTGGCCTACTAAGGTCGAAAGTATTTTTATTATGGAGGCACTTAACTCATGGACCACAACTGCCTCTTGTGAAAGGACAGATATTTTGCATCCATTTCTTTTCCAAGATTCAAACCCGAGCCCTTTGGTATGGCAGTCAGAATCACTACCCAATTTCTCATCTGTGTGATGACAATAAATTTAGAGGTGGCAAAAATTAGAGATGACAAAATTTTTAGAATTTAAAAAAGGTACAGGGTAGCAGAATTTTTAGAATTTAGAGTGGCATGAGACAGCAGAACTTAGGACCAATACACATTGTAAAAATTGACAATATGTGTAGTGCCCATCCTACCCCCCCCAACACCAGATGTATGATCTTGGCCAACACCAATACAATGTCAATAAAGATATTGTCACTAGCTATGGCCAGAGTATTATCACCAAATATAGCCAGCAACTGTTGGAAAGTGACATGCAGAAATCTTAATTAGTTAGGAGGAAAATTGTATTTAAGGCACGCTTGCTTCCTTTTGTTGAGTATTACAATCTCCATTTCTAGGTTTTGTAAGGAGAGGATTTTTTTATTGTTTTATTTTATTATATTTACTCATTTTCTAGCTGGTGGTCTGGATATTATATCATTCTGGATACTGAATATCCGAATTTTGGACTTTGTATTATGCACAAAAAACAAAACTCCTAAAAATAATGAATTTAAGCACTTTT